TGAAACTTCTGTGAAATAGGCTGCATAGGCACCAAGCCATGCTTTCTCCTCTCTAGCCCTATAGGTTTTGACAGTCAGCAGTTCTGGAACTTTTTGATTCAGAAATTACATTAGGACCACTGAGCCTAGGAGCTACTGATGGACTTTTCAGCTTAATGTTGTCTGGATGCTTTTTGAATGTTATTTCTTCCAGTTTCCACAGCATACGTTTGATTATTTCAGTAGTTACATTACTAATTCAGTTGCAAACAAGGAAATTTAAACAAATCCCTCTGACAGCTTGTTTTGGAAAAAAAAAAAGTCAATAATCATTCCCCATTTACCACTTCAGTTAATTAAGTATTTTATATGCAAGAATAATTTATCCCTCAGGAGGCAACTGAAGAGACTCAGTCCATTCAGTATTTCTCAGGATCATATGTGAAACAGTTTCTGCTCATCCATTATATCCCTCCCTGCCCACTTTGAAAGTTCTTGTCATTTAAAATAGGATGATAAGAACTAGACAGGGCATTTAAGATGCTTGTGCACTATGGACTTACAAAATGTTATATTGATGTTTTCTGTTCTTCCCTTGCTTTCCTAACATAGCTGATTATATAGAAAACAAGTGTATAGATTATAGTTTGCTTATATGTTTAGGGCGGTTTTTCCCTATGTAACATTGTTTTGCATTTCTTGCCATTCTGTCACCCAGGCATACAGTGCTATAAGATTCTTCTGAAATTCTGATCGTTTCTAGATTTGACTATCCTGAATACTTTTTGTCTCCAAACTCTGACATCTCATCTTCTTCTTCCTTTTCCTAGATCATTTATCAATTTGTTGAACACTATTGATTTTAGCCTGGATCCTGTGGAACTTGTGTTGAAAAGTTTGAGGGAGCCTTTGCCTACATCTTTTTAAATTTCTTACTGATAATCATTGTAGAGAATCAGCTATGAACTGGGAATAAGGCTTTAAGGATTTTTGTTTTGTTTTGAATAAACAGTACTAACACAGACTCTTCCTGCTGTTGCAGTAATTGTCTCATCTCTATTCATGGACAGTGTGATTTAGTTCTGAATATGCAGCTTGGTCTTCTGTTTCACTACTGATAAGATTATGTGTAGGGGAAGGCTTAGAAGTAAGGCCGTCTGTGTAATGTTAAGATTTGTTTTGGTGTATTAGAAGAAAGTAGTTTTACAGTAAAATGGGTATCACTTTATTTCATGTTTCAACAAAAAAAAGTTGAAAAAATTATAATAACTAGCTGTAGTGTTTTTATTCAAAGTTAATATGGATGCTTTTATTTGTGTGCTGTTGATGAAAACCATGGGGAATAAGAATTCAGATTGAATGCAGAATGTATATTGCTGCATTAGAAAATACAGTTATTTTTTATTTCTCTTATTTTACAGAACGATACCTTTGCTGATTTTGATTCCATGACAGATCGCCTTTTAGATGAAATTATACAGTATATACAAATTTATAATCTTACCCTTTCAAAAATCAGGTAATACCTGTTCTATACTGTTCATAGAAATAAACTTAAAACCAGAGCCCTGTGTTGTTGTGAACTGTGATGCTCAGAAGCAGGCCAAAAGAGAGATGGGAGAGAGAGATCCAGGGAGGAGGGGGAGGAGTAGGGAGAAGGCAAAGGAGAGAGAGGGAATTCCTGGCTGAACGAAGACTGAACAGTGTTGTAAGCTCACCTAGTCCTGTTGGTGGTTAAGCATTACATTTAAGGAACTGCTGTCCTGTGCTTCCTCAGATCCTGCATGGTAGGATTCTGCAGAAAAAAACAGAGAATATTTTGAGAAAGTCGAAGCAAGCTGTAATAGTGCTATGTCAGGATAAAGTTAGCTTTCTTCTGGTTTTAGTCTCTTCCCCAAGTATGACGTAGCAGACTGTCTGTATTGTCATTCCTGCAGGGAGTTTGCGTCTTAGCTGTGGCATTGAAGGGCTGCTGCATGAAAAAAAAATTTCATAATTTTGATGTTTTCTGATTGTTTCATTTGCTGAAAAGCATGTTTTACATATTGATAGAACATTCATCCTGGTCTATGCATTCCTGTTTACTTTTCCAGTTACCTCCAAGGAATACCTGTTTGATTTATTTCCTCAGAGCAGGGTACACCGTCTGGGTAGACTGCCTTACTGACTCAGCTGTGTTGCTGGAGTTAGCTCATCAATAGATGAAAGGAGCAAATTCAAGCCTGACTTCCTCCATTTGTTTAGGCATCCTCAAATTATACATCTGAAGGTTTTTTGACTTGCTGGTCAGCTGCATTTCCTACAAGTTTCTGCCTGCTCGTGTTTGGTGGGCCTTATTCAGCTAGAGACAGCACCTAACGTGTTTAAACATAACCTCACTTTTTAAAAAACTGTTTCTATTTTGAGATAGGCAAGATTTGACATAGTTAATGTTGTCTAAATCTATGATTTTAAAAAAATAGCACTGTGTGATTGTACATGTACTAGCAGATCGCATGTTAGCACCCTCGGTACGGGACAGGAGAGCTCTGTAACCCGCCAGCATGCTCTGACATGCTCTCTCTCATGCTGTGGTCTGAAGGCTGTAAAGAGCAAACCCACCCTGTTACCTTCTCATTCATATCCAAGAACTGAATTCTCATTTTCTGGGTTGCTTCTTTCGTAAGACTTTCAATTTGTAAATATTTTTTCAATTTTATTTATTACTTACCACTTGAAAAAAAAATCAATTTTTATTTCAGTTTCCTTTTCAAGGTGTATAGTTGGTTTTGGCCTTGACAAAACAGAAATCTCCATCTCTCAGCTTTAGCATTTCTTATGAGAAAATTAAACTTGTTAGCAAATCTTGCAGCTGTTTCCAGGTAGCCACATGAGAGAGCTTTCAGAAAGAGATGCGCTTATATGCAAGTCCTTGAAGGGATGACCCAGAAAGCCCAGGAAAGTACTACTGAGAAATCCTCTGTTCAAGTAGCCGATGTGTTCCTACCTAATTTTGGCTACTGTAAAGAAAGCAGATTTTGTGCTGGTTAGCCATGCTCTCCTGGATGATGCTTGTTTCTACTCATAAAATCTCCCCGTCTACTAAAGGAAGCATTCTCTGTACAAGTGCTGCTCAGTAGCCGAGTCAAACCAGAAATCCGTCTCCAGACCTATAATGATTTTGTATGGCAAAAAAGCCAACAGCATTAAGTGTCAGAAATACCTGTTCAGTCCCTCTTTTAGACTCAAAAGTCCTGTTATGGGCAAAAGAGAACACCCTTCATATGCAGAGCTAAGAATTTATTGTTAGTCCAATTAGTGTTTTAATAATCTCATTAAAAATGCAGCAAAAAATTACTATTAGTCTAGTTACAGTACTACTAAAATTCTTAGTCCAAATTAATGCAGAAAAGTCACATTATTGATACAGCTGCAGTTGTTACACAGAGACTTGCTGGTATCTTTTCTCAGGTGGTAGGCTCTCCTTCCAGCAGCTGGCTGGGTCCTAGGATTGATGCTTTCAGTCTTCCTTAAACAGTGGGACATCAGCATCCTGCGGCTTCAGTGTGAGAAGAATGATGTTCACAGTGGGGGTTTCTGCCTCCTTGGCCTTGGGTCTGCTTGGATTTATTTTCATACTTTCATATTTTCAGTCTGCCCACATATTCCTTCTCTTTTTTCCCATTTACTCTTTTTTTCCCCCCATTCTCTGTTATCCCTAACACTGGCTTTCTTTACTGAGTTGTCAGGTTGTACTTCTGCAGTGACCATTAATAGACCTCTGGCGTGTGATACCTATATCGGCACTTTTCGATGCCACACTTTGTTCTAGTGCTGCACAGTTCAAGCCACACAGAATAACTACTTGTTATTAATAGAAACTGTTGTGAAACTAAGATCAACTCAGGCCAAGACAAGTCAAGAGAAGTTCGGAGATTCTGTGCTGTTCTTCGTGCTGCTCATGCCTTCAAGTAATGGCAAAATCTTATTTTATTGTGCTGTGTTCTTATACTGAGATAAGAAAAGGCACTCACTGTGCCATCAGAACCCTGAGCCATATTCTAGTGTCAGTTTCAGCAAATCACCACGTTGGGTACTGCCAAAGCTAATACCAGTTGTTGCACCAATACACTACCCAACACGTGTATCCATCTCCTCCAGACAAAATCTTTGTGCTCACTACAAGTGTGTAGCAAGCATGAACTGGAAGGTTGATTTAAACCAACAGCAATTTGTCTTGTGAAACAGCTGTTTGGTAAAGAATCACAGAATGCTTTAGGTTGAGAGGACATCTGGAGGTCATGTTGGCCCAGTTACCCACTCATACCAGTGCCACCTTCAAAGTTAATGGAACTTTGAAGCAAGTCAAATTGCTCAGTCATACCCATTCAAATTTGGAGTATCTGTGAGGATACTTTGCAGGTTGTAAGGAAAGATAGAAAATAAACTCACATGGCTTTATAATATAGTTTCAGAAACCGTTTTCATTATGTCAGGTCTTACATCAATTTCTGATGACCCGTATTGGACTTTCACCTCATGTGGATTATTCAGCTTGTCATCCTCTTCCCTAGGTAACACTGTCTCACAAAAAAGAAAGCCATTTTTAATACTATGCATACATTAAAACATCTGTTCATTGTTTCAGTACAATCTGAATGGGTAGCCTTGTGCCATAAAGCGCATATAAATGCCACAGTGTAATTCCATTCCTTCGGTGTGCTGATGGTGTCTTGTATTCGAAAGATGGTAATACTGACACCTGCTGTTCAGAAAAGCATTGGTTTTGCAGAGCATCCCACAGTTGCAGGTTTCTGAAACAATTAACAGGATGGGTTAGGTTTATACTTTCAAAACCCTTGTTGAAGGGTTTTCTGTTTTTTCCCTTTTCCTTTTTGATCTGAGCAAATCCTTATACCTTTCTCTATTAGAAAATAGCATTAAAGGCTTATTATATGTTTACCTAAACATCTGAATTTGAACACAATATATTACTGTAACCTTTGTTGTTTTTCTGAGTCTTTACAAATTAAGAACAGCATCTCTGCTAACGTTCAGATTTTCTTTAGAAAATAATCTCTTTTACTGAAGAGTAATTGTGATACTCAGATCATGTTCAGGATAAACTCACTCAATTTCTGTGGACATTTTCTTATTCCTACAGAAATGTACAGTTTTGTTGTTCTTGTATAGACTTTATGATGTACTCTGAGAGAATAGTTTAAAATTTTAGTATTTAGGAGAATCATCAGCGCAGTATTTTGGTTTGCAAATGCACTGCTGTTGTGCTGACAGCACAGAGGATACAAATCTTTCATTTCTAAATTACGCAAACATAGCAAGCTGTGGCAAAGGATTTCTGATATTGGAGCAATTTTGAAAATCCAGTAGCAAAAGCGAATAGGAAGAATATACGTATATGCTTAAATTGTGTATTGGCAAGGAACAAATAGCCTGTTCTGTCATAGGCATGTCTAATTATGTGAGAGTTTAGGAGTTCAGGGGCGGCCCTGCCATTCTGCAACTTCAAGTTTGAATTTTTTTCGTTTAGCTTTAAATTGGAATTTTCAGAGTCAATAACTCTTGCTTGGGAAGCAATTTAGTTAAGTAATTTTTTAGCACTGTGTTTTACACAGATATTACTGATTGCTTTGTTTTAGCTATTTGTGTTGACAAATGTAGTGATACAGAGCAAATGGGAAGGATGATCTTAGGGGTGTAATGTTGCGGCACATACATGATTGCACCACAGTAGTTCTACTGTAAATATTTGGGTGGTTGTCTGTTTTCTCCATGCCCTGAAATGACCTGTAAAACAGGAAGGCACTTTTTCCTTCTGATTTTGTGATTCTTATCTCTACCGTAGCCTCTTTAAATCAGTGCCTAGGATGGTGTGGCCCTTACCTCAGCAGGGATCTGTAAGCAGAACTGCACGTAGTAACTAGAATTGCTTTATTTTGTAGTGTCCCTTCTAAAGAAATGCCTTACACAGACTTGTGAATACAACCATAGGCACCTCAGCTTAAGTAATAATTATTCTTACATACATGAAGCTGAAGAGTCCCATCCATCTTTCCCTTAACTCACTTAACCAGGGAAACGACTAAATGTAATATTTTTGTGGCAGACAAATATTCTTTGTTTGCCTTGCTCAAGCTGATAATCACTTATTTTGGTCCATCTGGTAAGCAGATTTGAATGTTGCTTCTATTTAAAAATAATCAGATTCAGTGAAGTAATTGTTTTCCCCCTTACAGGAGTACTTTTGGAATCCTTCTCCACTAGGTTGTTTCAGTAACTCTCATGCATTTATCATATTTGAATACCATCACATGCCAAAGTAGTGATTTATTCAGTCAAGCACAGCTCATAAAATACTTTCTGAATACTTGGTGCTAGGGGAAATACAACCAGAAATAATCTTGGGTTTGGGTGGGAGATGCTGGTGGAAGGATAATTTGTTCTCCCTAGCTTTTCAAAAACAATGTGTAAAATAATTCTGGAGGAGCTCAGAACATGTTTGTAGCGAGTTTGTGCAGCTTGGGAGATACAGACAGGCTGTGTTTTCTGTGGGACCTAAAATACAGGCGTCAGAATGGAAACTTTTCATTGATTTCTTTTCCTGGGCTTTTTCAGTATTTTATGACACCAGTTTTATTTTTTGCTGTTTGGAAATAAAAGAAAAAAAGAGTGCCATCAAATTCTATGTTCTACTGTTTTTTCTTTTTAAACAGTTTTATTGGACACTCACTGGGTAACTTAATAATCCGTTCAGTGCTCACAAGACCTCGATTTAAATATTACCTCAACAAGCTTCATACCTTCCTGTCTCTGTCTGGACCACATCTTGGTACCCTCTACAACAGCAGTGCTCTTGTTAATACAGGTAAAGTATCATTTTCAGTAGGGTAAGTTTAGGGAAGATTTTGTCTTTGAAATGCAATTAGCAGTTTCATGTGAAGAGTGCATTTCTGCATTACTTTGATTATGAGAAAGTGCACATTTCACTGTCATAAGAAGAGCGAGAAGGGTTATAAAAAAAAAATATCAGTAGAAGGATGTGCAAGAAGTGGTTGACATAAGGGTTTTCCCATGTGTTTGATTCAGGTTTTCTATTACACCATAAAGAAATTCCAGTTTTAATGTGTTGAGCTCAATTTATTGTCAACTGAATTTTAATATAATTAATCTGTAAAACAAGTAGGTAAATTGCACTAAAATGATTCTGAACTAGTAATAGTGCCCTTCCTCTATCAAAAATGTCTTAAACCTACCGTGTGTTTCTGCAGATTTGTTTGTACCTTATGAATGTCTGTTTTTCTAAAGATTAAATGTAGCTCTAGGAGAACTTTGTAGAAACTGCTGAATTTTAAAATAAATGTTAGAAAAAATTTTCAAGTTGCATCAAAATTTTAAATAATAACTTGTTTCTGAGATTGCCACCTACCTTGGAGATCCCAAACCCAACATGATTAACACTGATTTTCACTAAACATAAACATGCTCATTAAACTCTTTAAAAACACCCTAAAAATAATTAATTACTTTGTTTAGTGTAGTTTATTAATTGATTGTTTTATTATTTTGTTTCTTACGAAAATGAGGAACAAAACTTTTTAACTCACATGTGCTGAGCTTGAGAAAAGTGGACAGGAATTGCTGGCTGACTGTTGGAGTTTGCAGAAGCAGGGGGAACATGAAAGCTCTTGGAATCTGGTTGGAATGGTGCCATTGATAGCCCTCAACACACTGCCAGTGAGGTTCACTTCAGGATTAAGACATCTACACTGTGGGCACCTACTGGACGTTTAACCTAGTATAGCTGTGGACAGTTTCTTTCACATATTTTAATTTGTAACTGAATCTCACCCAAATCACCCAAAAGTGTTAGCATTGCTTTGCTTTTAAAAACTGCAGTTTTCCAGGCTAGAAAGAGGCAGGGCTGATTGATAATCACCAGCAGGTGACTTTCAGTTAACGAAGGTTAAACCTATCAAAGTATAATCCAGAATATATTCACTGAAAAAAGAAGGATTTCAGAAGTATTTAATCTCTTTTATAGTTGAAGGTTGTACAAAATGTCCTTTTCATATAATAATCTTCCTCGACGTTTCAAACTCCCTTAAGATTTTGGAAAATGCCAACATAATAAGTAGTGGGCATTGAAGTCTCAGTTACTATGTTGTATGTATATAATAATGATCTTCAATAAATTCCTTCAGTAGAAGATAACCATTTCCTTGAGGGTTGAATCAACACATTCTTGAGTCTGTAAGGTCTTGGTTGCTTGCTTTTCTTTTGCTTGACAGGTGAGAGAAAATTTTCTGAAAGGCCAGTTAGCCAGCTAGTTTTGCTCATTAACTGATAAAGAGGGTACAACATCCTAGAAAAGATAGTATTATTGTCCTCCCAGAAAATTCTGCTTCCTTTGTTCAAGTTATGTTTAATGAATTCAGTGGTTCTATATTTTTAGAAATCTGAGAAATAACTCTTGTTGTTTAGTGCTACATATTTCAACATCAGAATGTTCTAATGATCGGTACATTATTGAAATAGAGTTTATATATTGCCTTATGGCTAACTTATTAATGTATTTTCACTTTTTGTAATTATAGTTATTTTTTTCTAGAAAAGTGTATACATTAGTGGAAATCCTGGTCTTCATGCTTTATTATATATAGATAGAAAAAAATAATGAACAAAAATTTTAAAAGTTTCTAGGCTTGACAATGCTGACATGAAACATAAAACTAATGTTTGAGGAGCTAAATATATGGACTATATGTACTAATGTTTAATTAGTTTTTATATTTTATTGTGCATCTATGCTCATGTTGTACCTAATGATGCAGGACTGTGGTTTATGCAGAAGTGGAAGAAGTCTGGTTCTTTATTGCAATTGACGTGTCGAGACCATTCAGATCCACGACAAACATTCTTGTACAAACTCAGTAAAAAAGCAGGTAAGCTTTCTTAATACTTATCTTGTAAAGGCCACTGTACATAAATGTGAATAGGAAAATTAGGAGAAATTTTTCCATCAAATTCCCGTTTCAGTTTGTATAAGATTTACTTTGGCTTTAGTCCCATACTCTTCAAGTAAAATGAACAATAAACCATTTTTGTTGCAGAGGTGGACCACTGGTTTGATACTTTCCGTCCTAACTGATGAGCAGAAGTTCTGAGTATAGCCACTATGCTGGGGGGGGCGGGGTTTATGTAGATATATATACATATAAAAATATATATAAAATCAGCTTCTTCTTGAGCCACTGAAGCTAGTGATTTTAGTCTGATAAGTATATATGCACTCATTTAGGATTACCTGTTTCTATTTTTCATATTTATTCTATAAATGTAAAATTCTGCTCTAAAGTTTTGCTAACTTGTCTTTTATTTCCTCGCTAAGATGGTAAGGGAGAACAAAAACTCATTTTGATAAAGAAGAAGTTGTACTTAGCATAGTAGCTAAAAAAGCAAATTAAATAATTTATACTCTGTCATTCATACAATTTTCTCTGGTTTCAGCATTCTTATTTCTGCTGTTGGCTGAGAGCCAGTTTTGGCAGCGAATAATGTGCCAGTTGGGGAGTAGTTTGTATTAAGCATTCTGAATTTACTGGGGATTCATCTGACAGGTATTTCTAAGTGTGTGTCAGGCAAGCAATTGTGGAGCCAGAGATGCTCGTGGTGTTTTGTGAAAAATCTGGGCAAGTTTCTCCATCAGAATATTTGAAGGGTGTTGTCACCGCTGAAATTTTGTTGAGAGCAAAGCAATAAAAGGTACAAGAAGGAAAAGAGTGACATCTAGTTCTTGAGATGTTTGAATATAAAATTTAGAAGACTTGGAAGAAACAGAAAAGAGTAAGGAGCAAGAATAAAAATCATGGATGAGATAGAATGCTGATCAAAAACTGATTTTAGAAAAACTTGAGATTTTTTTCCCCTTCTGTTCAAAATCTACTATCACAAAGTGATTTTGTTGCTGTTCAGGTGATTTTTAAGGCTGGTATTTAAAGGTGAGCTCTGAAGTTAAAAATTACTGGAATGACTGGACCGACATCAGCTGAAGTGCTCTCAATGTAGCTTTTCAGTCTTTGGAATATAAATGTTTGATCCTAAACAGAAGTGACGAGCTTCTGAGAAGTTACACTGTGGATGCTGAATAAGAGCGTGGGACCTGTGTTGTAATCATATTAGTTAATCAGTTTGCTTGAAGAATTTGGTCTTCTTTGTTTTCACGTGTGCGTATCTCAACATGGCAGGAGACACTGTTATTTGAGTATTGTTGTCTATTCTAGAAATAGGACATATTTTCTTATGAAAAATCTCTGTATGACAGGCTTTTGAAAGACCCGGATAGCGTTGTCTTAAGAGTTGTGACATGCCTTTCAGACTTTATTGCCCAGAAAATGTAGAAGGAGCCTAAAAATCTTAGAGCCCAGTTTCCTTTTTCTATCTTCTTACTGAAGAGATGGAAAGAGCTGTATCTTGGGCCAGAGCCTCATCCACGGTCTTGTTCCCAGGTCCTTCAGTGAGCTTCGTGAGGAAGAAGGAAAGGTTGGGGGAGAAGGAGAAAGAGATGGGAAAGTTTGATAGCTTTAAGGAGAAAAGAAAGCAGGCTTTACACTTCCCTAAAAGAGAAGGAAGAGTTTTCCCTTGAGGGTTGAGTTCATATATTGCATGTACACTGTAGGTGTTGGGGTCTTTAACCCTTGACGTCTGCCCAAGGCATGCTGATGTCCTGCCATCTCTTTGTTCATTCAGCAGGCATACAGTATGGGCTGTGCTTGACTCTCAAACACCAGATGAGAGGAGTTTGGGATTCCTGTAATACACAGTTTCTCTTCAGGTTTTCAGTCTAGAGAATTTGCATACTGTTCTTTACAGGGATTTGAAACATAAGTGTTTCCAGGAACCACTTTATCCCAGGCTACATGCAAGAGATTGCCAACACTGTTGAGAAGTATAGCCCTGACTTTGCAACTTCTGTTGATTTTTCTAATCCTATAGGAAAATAGGAGTCTAAGATGGAGAAACATCTGTTCCTGCTTAATGCGGTGTGTTCTTCAGATGCTGGCTTTGCAGATGGGTAAATCCCTAAGGCAGCAAAACTTCCAACACTGCTGTGGTCCAGTTGGTTTCAAGATTATCCCTAAAAGTGACTGTGGACTCAGCAGGTGATGTTCTGACAGTCTAGGTCTCAGCCATGTTGTTGTATGGTGGTTTGTGGCTCTAGTTCTCAAATTTACCAGAGAACATCTCTGTTAACAAATACATTGTCTTGTTGCTTAACCCGAAAACGGATGAAGTTCCTACTTTCTGTCTACCATTGTAGGTGAAAGTACAGTTGAGCATCTCCTCTTCTGCCCTTAAAAAGAAGCTCCAGTAAGTATTAATGCTTAGCGCCATTCAGAAAAAAAGACATTTGTGCTCACATCCATGCTCTGTTCTAAATCCTGGGGCAGTAGCAGTTAATACCAGAAATTTGCAATCATGAACACGTTTCTGGTAACTCTTCCTCAGTGCTGCTTCTATCACAGCAATGCATCTAGGAGGATCTGTGACAAACATTTTTACCAGTCTTGCTTTTTCCTTGCCGGTTGGGGCCAGGTTGACTGGACATCACCTCAGGCTCTTGGATCTCATAGTCAGAAGCAGCACAGGCCAGTTTCTCTGCTGCTACCAGAATTTCTGGGCTCTTTGTCTTCCCAGAGATCTCTCTCAAAATAATCTGTTCTGAAAGGAATTTTAATGCTTTAATGCAGAGTTTACAGACTATTCCATCAGGAGAAGCAGGTTTTGTATGTGACACTGGGAAAAGAATTGTGAGTCTTCTGAGCATATGCAAGAGACTCACCTAACGATAGGCTCAGACTTCAAAAGAACGTTCACAACTGAAAAGTGACTCTGAAAAATTATACATATATCATTAATAAATCCCTCCCATCTATATCATGCAACTCTTCCTCAGTACAATGTCAGTTAGCCTGTCATTACTTGCTGAAGGAATAGTTACCCAGAACTTGGTCTTTTCAGTTTCTTTAGGTTCTCTACCTCAGTGTTCTTTTACTATAAAAAAATCTTTTAAAATGATTTTTTTTAAGTTTCCTGGAAGAAACAAATAAGTTTTCCTAATAGTTTAATAGTTACAGTTGTTACAGTGCTACTATGTGTGTACTGTATTTCATCCTTTGATAGGAGTGTTAAAGCTAGAAGTGAGTACGAACCACATATATGTCACAAGCAGTAGATGCTTATTATCTTAAGTCGTAGTCTGATTTTTTTTTTTTTTTGGTTTTTTGGGGTTTTTTTAGATAGCTGGGGCCAAGTCAAACTTGTTATTTGCCAGAAAACTTGGTGTAAATTGGTTAATATGCTAGGTTGTGCCTGGAAAATATAACTACCTGCTGGAGTAGTGATTCATCTGTGTGACAAAACTTGAATGAAAAAGTTGTTATTGTCATTAATTGATGTTAGTATTCGTAAATGAAAAGGAAATGCATTCACCTAAACACAGATATCTGTGATTAAGAATGTGTTCATGGGATTGTTCTTTTTGAAGTGTATCTGCATAAGAGTTTTGTTTGCAGAATTTCCTCAGATCTAGTATTGGAGATACTGTTAGCTCTCATTTAGCAAGTGAACTCTGGGAACTTTTAAGTTTCACTTTCAAGTAATTTGTCAAGGCAGAATGACAGATAACTTATTTTAACAATTCTTGTTATCTGTTTCTGTTGTATAAATATGAAATAAAAGCTTTTTGAAGTGATTGATTCAATCAAGCAAATGACAAGTGATGATAATGATTAACTGTCTGCTTAGAGCCTCTGTTTTTCTATAGCATTGCCTGTGATTTGTCTGTCTAGTTTTGCTTTTATGCACTTAATGGAGTGTTACAATTGTAGAATATTTTTTAAAGGCAAGTACAACTCATTCATTGCCCAGCTATCAAGTTTATTAAAGCAGAAAGAGTGACGTTAAAAAGTTAACTTGTTAAATCAACTTTAAAAAGCCCACTTATATATTATCTTCAAGTTTTAAAATCATAAAAACAAAATAATTTTCAGGCCATGTAATAAATTGAAGATAAATATTTCAAAGAATAACAGCAGGTGGTGGGAAGAAATGGAGACTGAAGTATTTGCCATTTCTGATTGGATGGTTGTTTAAAAAAAAATCTGGATGTTTTCTTTCTGGACTTGACCATTCAAAATTGTGGTAATTTACAGCTGTTTCTGTCTCATTGTCATTGCTAATTGCTGGTAAGGAGCAAAAGCTGAGTTTATTTGCTTGTAAGGAACAAAAATTAATAGAATTATTGATTATAAGTGAAGAGAGTTAGATTTTATGTTATTTCTTGAATTTTAAGTTACTTTAAGCACTTCATGTTTGCAGTTGAGGGATTTATACCATCTTGAACTCAGTGGAAAATTTGGTTTTCTGTTGTTGCTTCTTCATAATGATAATGTTTAGAATTACGTTCTTTGACAATAATCTGCTTGAAATCTGCTTGTCATGTCTTCAGCAGCTGCAATCTGTCCAGTAATTTTTGGGGGGCTTGGAAATTATTGTTAATTTTATACTGTGATAAGAAATGACACCAGGTTGCCAGCTATGATGATATATGTTCAATACAATCACAATGGTAGTTGCACAGATGAAAAAATACATTAAAATTTCTGCATTACGTGTAAATAATGACTCATGTTGTGGTATGAATGGATTCAACAAAAACAGAGTTTAATTTTTTGAAATTAACTTGATAAGAAGATTTTTAGACACAAAATTATATAGTCTTCTATTTTCTAATTGCCTGGCTTTTAGACATTAGTATAGTCTATCCACGTAGTGGAAATCAGTACTTTCTGTAACTGAACAGTTGAGATTTGCCATAAAACTTACAAAATGGTAACTATGCAGACCTGCCCTTAAAGGGATATCGGGGAATGAGTTAAGGATT